AATTCTATATTCAAGGAAAATTTCCTCCCAAAATGAAGGCAAAATAAAGTTTGTTTTCAGACAAAAGCTGAGAGAATTCATCACCGGCAGATCTCTACTATAGGAAATACTAAAGGAAATCTTTCAGGTTGAAAGAAAATGATAGTAGGTGGAAAGATGGATCTACACAAAGGCATGAAGAACACCAGGAATGTAAATATGTGGGGAAATATACAATGCTTTTACCAATCTCACTTTTAAATGTTTTAAAAAACATTCAATCATTCAAAGCAAAAATAATAAAAAGGTAGTGTCGGGTTTATAACATCAGAAGTGAAACATATGATTGTGTGTTCTGGCAAGTCCTCCAAGACTCTGATACATGCTAATAAGCCAACAGCAGAGATCAAATATATACTAAAAATAATCTGAAAGAAGAAGGGTAAAGAAAAAGAGGGGAAAAAAGAATGGAAGGGGCAAATAAAAACAAATAGCAAGATGGCAAACTTAAACCCAACGACGTGGATAGTTAAGGTAAGTGTAAATTGACTAAATACTCCGATCAAAAGGCAGATTGTCAGGCTGTAATAAAAACAAGACATACTGTCTACAAGAAACTTTAAATATAAAGGCACAGATAGGTTAAAAGTAAATGGATGGAAAATGGAAAACAGGATACTAGAACCAACACAAAGAGTCTAGAAAATCCCAATGTCATAAAAAAGTGGGGGAAAGAATGAATGACAAATGTGGCTAAGAGCTCTGGAGACACTACCAAAGAGCCCTAGAACTCAGCAGGAAGAAAGCTGGAGGGTTTCAATATAAAACCAACAGGTGCCAACGTAGGATGATATGCTGCAGATGACAAAAATGTGAATCCTTCATAGACGATACAGGCATAGATAGTTACTCTCCCTTGAAAACCCAAAGAGGGTAAGGGAAGGGGAGGAGATGGCTAGGTATATATTTGCATTTCAGGAGAAAAAAGGAAAGAAGTGAGAGTGACTTGTAGCTAGAATAAGCACATCTCTAATGTGTATGTGACCACATGGGGTTGGAGTTGGGGAGAGTCAAGGTCTAGAAAGATCTGCTTTCTTTTTCTGTAATGTGAGAATTTTTAGTAACCAAGATGAATTTTGTTGGTATCAGAAAAGCATAACAATTGTAAAATATTTTGGTTTTAAAAGACTTTGAGTAAGAAAGATGCTCAGCATGTGAGAAGCCAAGGGCTGAGGCCAAGGAGTCAATGGGGAGTGGCCCTTCGCTTGGGTAAAAAATCCAGCATTTCCTGGGATCCCCACACAGTAGGGCAAGTGCAGGGGAGAAGGGCTGGCAGGAATCTGTGGGCGGTCCACGAAGGGCAATGACCAGAAAGCCTAGAGACAGGCCCATGGGGTTGTGACTTCCTGGGCTCCTCCTTGCAAGCTATCAGCACCTAAGAAGTGCGGGCAGAAGGCCTCATCTAGTCCCAGAATCCAAGGAAGCCCCATTCCCATCTTTAACTGGCTGTCTGGCACAGGGGCTTCCCCAGTGTGAGTTCATGTTCATCCCCAGGTGCTCAGCAGCCATACCCTCTCTGTCCCACTGTCACCTGGGCAGGGCCCTGTTGGTCCGCTGGATTCCTCTGGTATACATTCAATGCCTGATTTGACTTTGGCTTCCAGTACAAAATGAACTGGTCATAAATTACTTACACAATTCATTAAAAAAAATTCACTTCCAATTGACATTGACATTTGGCTGCCAAATGGAATGGAGAGGGGGATATTGTGGATATACCTTCTGAGAAAGAGGATCTGTTAGAGACCTCTTCTCGCTGACTTCAGGCCAGAGACCTAAGAACTTAGCCCTCTGACAAGGCTCTGCCCCAGCCCCCTAATCCCATATCTTGCCCTGCCACATCGCAGTGACATCCAGACACACTGGCCTTCATTCAATCCTAGATAGGCCAAGACTGTGGCCTTCAAGGCCTCTGAAACTGCTGAGAGTACCATGGGCTTCTCATGGATGGCTCCTTCTGAGAATTCGGGCCTCAAGTCTATTTTTATTTTTCTGAGACAGGGTCTCACTCTGTCACCCAGGTTGGAATGTAGTGGTGCCATCACAGCTCACTGTAGCCTCGACCTCCCAAGCTCAAGTGATCCTCCCGTCTCAGCCTCCTGAGTAGCTGGGACTACAGCTGTGTGCCACAACCCCCAGCTAAATTTTTAAATTAAAAAAAAAACAATTGTAGAGATGGAGTCTCACTATGCTGCCTAGACCAGTCTCGAACTTCTGGACTCAAGCCATCTTCCCACCTCAGCCTCCAAATGCTGAGACTACAGGTGTGAACCACTGCACCTGGCCCTCATCAGGCTTCAACTCTAATGTCACCTCCTTAGAATGCCTTCACTCTCTAGTGTCCGTCATAGTCTACTCGGAACATTTTTGCTAACTAAAAACTATCCAATGAAATTGCTTGTTTCTAACTGACAGTCCCCAGGAGAAATGGAGCTCCAACAGCGCAAGGGTGCTTTCTCATTCTTGGTCACTCCTGAATCCCCAGTGTCTGCAGCAGCTCCTGGCCGTGAGTGGGCACATGATAAATTGCGGGGTGACTGAATCAATGTGTGTGGGGAGTGGCATGTTAAATGAAGCACACTTCCATTACCGGAGCATGCACTACACGTGTTTGGAGCCATGCATCTCCCTTCCTGTAATTCACTTATCACATCCTGTGGTTATTACCGCCTCCATTCACAGAGAAGGAAACCAGGGCTCCAGGAGGTTAACTTGCTTAATATCATCTTCCAAGATTTGAGACTTTTCGAACCACACCAGAGAAGAGCGAAATAATATTCAACCTATAACACCACGCCACAGCCAGAAGACAGACTGGGGGTGAGGCTTAGTGTCATCTAGGCCTAATGGCATATATGGGTGTTTGGGTGCTGCCTTTAAACCATCCTGCTAACATGCCCTCACTGCACAATGAGACATGTCATTCCTCTCTCTCTTTCTCCGTCTCTGTCTCTTACACACACACACACACACACACACACACACACACACACACACAGTCCTCCCGAGCCACCCACGTTTAATCGAGTGAATCCTCCCGAAGTGTTCCATTTAATAGGGCAAATCCTACTGAAGTGTTTTTACTTAATTGGCATGATTAACTGTTGAAATCCTGGAGCCACAACTCCCAAATGAATTGTTAATAATCCTTTCCTGTGCAGCAACAGGAGTGCCCCTTCCTGTAGCAGCTCACCCAGGGGACTCAGCCTGAGAGCACTTTAGCTCTCAGTGGCTGCGTGATCACCACCCACAGTGACAGAGCCCCTCGACATGGAGATCATTTAAAAGGTACTCATAAAAATGGGAGGAAAGAAGTGGGCCCTGCTTCCACAAAAGGAAATGAAACTTTGCATAATTAATCAATCAAGTATATCAGGTAAAAGAGCTTCATGAGAAGCAAAGGAAGGTCATTAAAAAAAAGATAACACATTAATCCCTACTGCAGATCAAAATAAAATTATCATCAATCCTAGAGATAATCGGATCATTTAGGATCTATGTTGCACAACTGTTCTATTTTAAAATGGTGGAACTAATCAGGAAAAGAAGCTGGATGCTGTGACAAAAGTGACAAATGCAGGTGTCCACTGCCTTCTGACAGTGGATCTTGGGGAATCAAGGTCGAAGGAATTCCAGACAGAACATGAAAATCATTGTAATGCACACCCGATGGACACACAGGGTAATGCTGACCTTGAAGTAAGGCACTTTCACTTACAGCACAAAAGCATGTCCTGAATCTCGTAGGGTGCACTCCTACATACAACTGGGAAATATGAACGCTCAAAGAAATACTGTGGGAAAACACATTTCCAACCCTTAATATAAGTGGTATTACTCTCCTTCTTTCAATGGGATCTGAAGATAGTCTAAAGACTATAAACTCCCAGAAAGCAAAGGCCCTGTCAAGGTCAGCTGTGAATTGCACACTGGACCTAGGCAAGCACCATTACACTGCAGCTGTTTAACAAACATCTGCTAGAATAAATGGAAAATAATGATGTCAATGTCAACCTACTGCCTGATAATTTGAAAAATTATGCTTTCTAAAACACGAGCGCTCACGTGAGCCAACAAATCTTCCTGCTCACGTGCTTTAGATCGCAATGTAAATTTTAACCAACTTATTTAAATCAAATTTACTGCATGGAAGCAGAAAACACTAAGAGACTCAAAATAATCATTCCACTTCGATGTGGAAGAACAGAAATGAAGAGTTGAACTCAACAGAGACAAAAAACAACCCACGTCACAAAATGTAGTAATAATGAGATGTTTCCTGGTTGTCTTTGGATTAAAGACACTCCTGCCTCACTGCTGAATGTTTGGCTACTGGCTAACAGTAGCTTCTGAGCCTAAAGACCAGCATTCAACTGATTTTATCACACAAATAGCCAAGCAACATTCTCTAACAGGTGCGCTGTCCTTCCCTGGGCAGGGGAAAGGCAGCGAGGCCACCCAAATAAGCCTCATCTGGAAGGTTCCAGAAACTTCCAAGGGGTGCCAGAAACACCTGAACTCTCTGAAGCATCTAAATAAAGACCTGGAGCAGAATGTCCTCAGGCCCTAAAGCTTGAGTTTACCCCGAAGACAACAGGTGGCTTGTGTTCTGTTCAGTTCTAGGCCAGAGCAAATGTACCCCAAAGGGTGTCTTCAAAGGTTTCCACTCACAGGAGATCCAATTCAGATGGATGGCTTCTGCTCCCTCTCCCACCCAAAAGGGAGATTAGATTCCAAATTCTCTTTCCTGAATATCTTTTCTCCTGTGAGTTGTGTTGCTTGGATTGAGAGAACTGTCTCTGGGCAAAGACAGTTCAGCAACACTGGCATAGATGAAAATATAAGTGCTTCTGGAACCAAAACGATACTCCTCACCATGTTGTAACCCCACCTATAGGGTCTTCTGATAGCATGCCCAGCGTCGAGGCCAGCAGACACCACGCATAAACACCGAGACTTACCCAAAAGAGACACACACGGATGACTCATCATGGCTCAGAACTACTCCAACGGATCAGCCTGGCAGGTAAGGTCCCACCTGTTGGATTGCAATAATTCAGGTGAACAGAAGCAGACCCATGTGCGCCTCCCAGCAACCTGGCCCCCACATTTTGGGGGATGTACTGAACTGGGCCAGATACAGGGTTCAACTGAATGTACACCACCACAATCTGGATCCACCCTAGCCAGGTCAGGATGCAACCCTTGAGCCAAGCCCAGGGCCACGCTGGGCCTGGCCTTCATGTTCTTTCCACCTGACAGGCCAGGAGGCAGAAGTGAAGGCCCCACGTGGGCCCACCCTGTCCCGTCCCAAAGCAGCAAACAGGCTGCTACTCTAAGTAGCAGAATCCTGAAGGGTCTAAAGAGAGGGTGTCTCACCAGGAAAGTCTGTCTCTCTTGGGGTATTTGTGTCTGTGTGTGCCTTTTTCCGTATGTGTGGGTGGGAAGGCATCTGTTTCCTCTCTCACTTTGCCTGGGCACCTGTCTCTTTCTGTTTGGGTTTCTATCTTATTTCTTTTCTATAAAAAGCCAGAAGGTAGACCAGAAGGGGATTTTGTAGTGTTTGTTGTACTTAATTGAGGAAAGTTTTGTGTTCCCATTTCCCCAAGAATATTCATGGCATCTTACTAAAAATCGAAATAAATTGTAAGTATAGCTGCCTTTAGGTAACACTGCCTGGATACAAAGGATTTGAAACTGGGGGTGGGGTGGGATGCTATGCAAATTGCAAGGAGCCCAGGGCCATCCAAGGAGCCCAGGCAGGTTTGGGTAAGGGCTGGATCATCGGGTGAGAAAGTTGGTTTGGAGTTCACTAACAACTCATATGGGAGTGTAGCTGGTTTGGGAGAGACCAAGGGATCTGCATTTTTTAACAAGCACCCCAGGAGATTATGATGCAGAGCTGCACCTCCTTAACACTGGGCCTGTCTAGAATCTGGAGGTTCCCAGATTCTCCAACTCTCAGAATCTCTGTCATTGACAGGATTCCTGCCCAGGAGCCTTGTGAAATGGGAGCCCACTATCTCTGAGTCTGTGCTGATGGTTAGAAGAGAATTCACACGTTCTAGTAGATTTCCAAGGGGTCCCTCACAGACAGAAGGCTGAAAATCACTACTCAATAGGGTTCTATATATAAAACTCACAGTGTCTGGCCCAGTTCAGTAGTACATCTCCCACAAATGTTACTAGGGGGATATACTGAACTGGGTCAGACACTGTGCAAGTGGCTTCTACTTGAAGGTCCAATGTGGGGTGGGGGGACTGTGGGGGTGGGGAAGGGCTGAGGCAGCATTAGTACCTAGGGGAGGTGCTGTTCCCGCAATCCTATCTGAAATTCTCTTGTAAAGGAAAAATGTCGGGCTGAGGTTGAAGAGGAAATGTTTCATTGACCAAGGAGACTGGAGGGGGGCCGTGGGCCCAGCTAGGCCAAGGCTGGCTGGAGGGCTTCAGTTGGAACAGGGTGGCAGGGTGGGACCTCTGGGAAGAGGGCCAGGAATGGGGGTGGGGGTTGTTTGAAAGGGACCATGGACTTTGGGCGGCAGGCGAGTGGGGGCGGGGGGGGTTGTGGAAAAGACATGTAATTAATCACCCAAATATAGACTGGAGGAGCCAGCAAAGGAGTTTAAGGGGGCAGGGGCACTGGAGTGGGAGATGGCAGCCCCCAGTAGGGGAGAGAAAAAGACTGGTTCAGACAGAGGGCCTTGAGCTCAGCTCACGGCCCCCTTTCCCCTCCCTCCCCACAGTTCTCTCTCTAGGCTACCTACCTGCCCCCATCCTCCCCACCAAGCTGAGGCTTAACCCCCACCCAACCCACTCAAAAGGAAAGGAGGGACTCCCCAGCGGGAATTGTTCCCACCTAGCCCACCCTCCCAGCGCTCAGACTGCGGCTCAGCCCCTCCCCTAGACCAGGGAAAAGTCCTTTAATCCCCACCCCTACAACGCCCCCTCCAGATCGGGCTCCTAGGCGTTAGGGGCGGGGGTCCTCTCTTTCTGCCCCTGAGCGGTTCCCACTCCTAGCTTCCCCCAAAGAGCAGAGCAGGCCTCCGCACTTTAGCAATTCCCACCCGGGACCGCCGCCCCCCGCCCGCCTCGGGGAGGCCTTCGGGCCTCTTCGTACTCGTCATCCGGGACCCGTTCACAGCTCTGGCCCGCCCAAGGCCGAGCAGCTCTCCAATAGCCCAGAGATGCCCCCTCCCTGCACCGTGCACTCTTCTGCGGCCCGCACGCTCGCTCCAGCCCCGCACACGGTCCTGCGCCTCCTGCACATCCTCTCGCGGCCCTGCACGCTCACTCGGGCCCTCAGGTCCTCCTGCCGCCGCCACGATCACCTCCGCCCTGCGGCCCCTCCAGCGCCCCCGCACATCCTCCCGCGGCCCGCACACTCACCCAGGCCCGGCGGCGGCCGACGCGCGGCCCTTGGTGGAGCAGCGCTGGCGCGGCCCAGGCAGGCCTGGCGTGGCAGGAAACGCCACGGAGCCGCCAGTGCCCGGCAGAGCTAACAGCCCCGCGGCGCGTTTCCGGAGCCGTGAGCGCCACCCGGGGTTCTGAGGGAGCGAGGCCCCGCCCCGGCCCCAGTCTCGGCCCCGATTGGCCAGGAAAGGGGGCGGGGCGGGAAAAGGGCGGGGTTTGGGGCGGGGCGGACTGGGCAGGCAAATCTGATCAGCCTGCGGGGGAGCTGCGCGCGCGGGCTGAACGCTTGTGGGGAGGTGGGGAGGAGTGGAATGAGCGTGAGAATGAATGAATGAACGAGCAAACAAATCGACCAGCAGACGAAGGAGGGAACGAAGGAATGGAAGAGACCTCTCCCCTTTGGGCGTCTTCAAGATGGTGGTGGGGGGAGTGAAGGGTCGGGAACTGAGGGCGATAGACCAGGAAAGCCACTATTCTGTATGAATGGAATCAGATCGTCTGTACTATTGTGTGTCTGGATTCTTTCTTTCAAAGTGATGTTTTTAAGATTTATCTATGTTGTTGAATGTGCTATCGCTGAGTAGTATGCTGTTGTTTGGATATATCAGAGTTGGTTTGTTTATTCACCACGTTATGATCTGGGCTGTTTCCAGTTTGGGTGATCATAAATAAAGCTACTATGAATATTCATGTACACATCTTTGTGTGGACATATGCTTTCATTTTTCTTGGGCAAATACCTAAGAGATGAATTGCTACATCATAGGATAGTTTTATGTTTTATAAGAAACTGCCAGAATGTATTCCAAAGTGGTTGTGCAATTTACATTCCCACCAGAAATGTATGAGAGATCCTTTTCTTTCACATCCTCATCAACATTTGAGGTTGTCAGCCTTTATTTTTAGCCATCTGAGAGGGTGGGAAGTGATATCTCATTGTTATTTCAATTATCATCTCCCTGATGACTAATTATGTTGAGTATGCTTTTATGTGCTCACTGGCCATTTCTATATCTTTCTTTGTAAAGTGTCTGTTCAAGTAGTTTGCCCAATGTTATGTGCAGTGTATATATATATGTGTGTGTGTGTGTGTGTGTGTGTGTAGAGACAAAACAGGAAGCTAGCTCATTATGTGCAATGTGTGTATATATGTGTGTGTGTATGTGTATATATATATATACACAGACATTTAGTTCCTGAGAAATTTTATGTTTTAGATTTAGGGGGTACATGTGCAGGTTTGTTGCCTCGGTATAGTGTGTGATGTTGAGGTTTGGGGTACAAATGATCCTGTCATCCGAGTACTGAACATAGTACCCAATAGTTACTTTTTAAACCCTTGACCCCTCCCTCCCTGACCCCTCTTGTAGTTCCCATTGTCTGTTGTTCCCATCTTTATGTCCACAAGTACCCAATGTTTAGCTCCCACTTATAAATGAGAATGTGTGGCATTTGGTTTTATGTTCCTGCATTAATTCACTTAGGATAACATCCTCTAGCTGCATCCATGTTGCTGCAAAGGACATGATTTAATTCCTTTTTTTGTGGCTGCATAGTATTCTGTGGTGAATACCTACCACATTTTCTTTATCCAGTCCACCATTGATGATCACCTAGGTTGATTCCACGTCTTTGCTATTGTGAATAGTGCTGTGATGACCATACAGGTACATGTGTCTTGGTGAAAAAATGATTTATTTTCCTTTGGGTATATACCCAGTACTGGGATTGCTGGGTCAAATGGTAGCTCTGTTTTAAGTACTTTGAGAAATTTCCAAACTGCTTTCCACAGTGGCTGAAATAATTTACATTCCCATCAGCAGTGTATAAACATCCCCTTTTGTCCACAGTCTCTCCAGCATCTGTTATTTTTTGACTTTTAAATAATGGCCATTCTCACTGGAGTGAGACACTGTCCCATTGTGGTTTCGATTTGCATTTCTCTGATGATTAGTGATGAGAGCATTTTTTTCATACGTTTCTTGGCCACTTGTATGTCTTCTTTTGAGAAGTGTCTGTTCACATCTTTTGCCCATTTTTTGATAGGGTTATATTCTGGATATTAGACCTTTGTCAGATGATTTTCTCCCGTTCTGTAGGTTGTCTGTTTATACTGAGATATATTTGACAGACAGTAAACTGTGAGTTTGTCATGTTTCAGCTAAACAACTTGATAAGCTTTCACACACATACACACACACAAACGTATGAAACCATCACCACAATCAAGGCAATAAGGATTTCCATCACCTTCAAAATTTCCTCATGCCCATGACTATCCCTTTCTCTTCTCCTCTCCTGTCCCTAGGCAACCAATGATCTGCTTTCTGTCACTATAAGGTATTTTCTAGAGTTTTATATAATAAAATATTATAATAAGTCTTCTTTTGTGTTTGGTTCCTTTCACTCAACAAAATATTTGGAAATTGTCTTAATTTGCACTGCCATGACAAAATACCTGAGACTGGATGGTATAGTTTGAATGTATCCCTTCCAAAATTCAGGTGTTGCCAATGTGATATTATTAAGAGGTGAGGCACTGTCATTGTCTACTTTATGTAGTATTAAATGGACAGAAGGGAGAAGAGAGAGAGACCTAGATCTATTAAAAGGTGATTAGGCCAGAGGGCTACTACCTCAGAACGGAATTAAGGCCCTTATGAAAGAGGCTTCGTGCAGCATCTGGTTAACTTGCTGTTTTGTGTCTGCCTTCCACCATATGAGGACATGGTAAGAAGGCCCTCAGCACACACCAAACTCTGAGATGATCATTAGCATTTTTAGCAATAAAATATTTTAAAATTAAGATGAGTACATTTTTTCAGACATAATACTATTGTACACTTAATAGGCTATAGTTTTGTATGCACTGGGAAACCAAAAAATTTGGGTAACTGGCTTATTGTGATATTTGCTTTATTGTCCTGGTCTGGAACAGAAAGCATACTATCTCGAAGGTATGCCTGTATCTATTTCTTTTTGACTGAGCTTTGCTATTTGTATCTTTCAAGAAATTTGCCCATTTCATGTAAGTTGCCAAATTTATTAATATAAAGTTGTACATGATGTTCTATTATTATCTACAGTGATAACGCCACCCTGATTCCTGATATTGGTAATCTGTGTGTTTTGTTTCTTAACCTGTGTTTCTCTTCTTTCTTCTGTCCATTTAATACCATATAAAGTAGACAATGACAATCATTTTTATATTAACCATTCTTTGTTTGGGGCATTGCCCCATCCCACGAAGTAGAATTTGCCTCCCACTATAGATCCCAAAGATGGTTAGTATTCACTCTCCCAGCTTCCCTTGTAGCTACAGCTTGGGCACCTAACTCAGGCTCCACCAATCACATGAACCCACTACCCATTGAGTCTGAGGCCCGAGGTGGGAAGAAGCAGGGTCCCCACAGATTTCACTCAGGCTGGGCTGCTGGTGGCAGGCGTCATGTCACCCATTCCTTGAGAAGCACTGGTAGCTGTGGTTCTCTTGGCAGCGTCTGCAATGTCTGCCCAGTCATTGGTGGGAGCAACAGGGGAGCCCGAACTGCTGAGCACTGCAGTGAGGTTTGTAACCTTGCTCCTCTCTGCAAAGGTGAGTTTCTTGCTTGTCTGCATGTGAGTGTGGGCCACAGAGAATGCTGTGCTGGGTGGCTAAAACTCAGAGACCCAGAGAGCAGATTTTAGGGTGGCCATGGCAGAGGGAAAGCAGGAGGGGCAATATCTGGGAGCAGAGAAGCACCGTATGGACGAGCTCCATGTTTGGCCTGTACACGCTGCCCAAATCTCTGGTTGACCCTGGAGCTATGCATGCACAGGGCAGAGTCCAAGAAAAGAACTGAGCAGAGGTTTCAGCTGATGCCCAATACCGTGGAAACGGAGTCTGGAGATTGCAGTTGGTACCCAATACAGGGGAGACTTAGTGTGAGTTTAGCTAGGTTAGTTGTCTACTAAGACAACAAACCACCGTCACCACCACCACCACCACCACAACAATAACAAACAATGACCCATCTCTGGAGAAATATAACAGAAACTAAGAAGCCAAATCTACTAGAACTCATTATGGACAGTGTCCAGGATATAATGCTAGATTACTAGAAGAAACAAGAATTGTTCTGGTACTCAAGGGAAAAAACATCCAAGGGAAACTCACCCTGGGCTGACAATAGTCAAGAACATAAAGCATGCTCATAATGATTTTTATATTGATATATGTGCTTCTTCATTAATGCATAAAATAGCAGTACTTAAAAGTTCTTTACCAATATAATAAATTGTTGAAATGTTATTTCCAGCGAATGTGTCTAGCTATTGGCAATAACTGTAATGTGATATGAAAATATTTATTTCTGTTGGTGACAAAGTCACATGTACTGCCGATACTGTTGTGGTTTGTTGCCTACATTCATAATTGAAGGAAACACTAAAGTTTAGTTAGTTTAGTAAAAATAAGGATTCATTTTTCGCCATCTGATTCATAGATCCTTTGAGATCTTAACACCAGGTTAAGGTCTTAAGACCATAGATATTGATTTCTCCCTGATAGTACCAAAAAAAAAAAAAATGCCTGGCACATAGTAGATGCTTCATAAATATTTCTCAAATAAATGAATGCATCTGTGTTACAATCTAGTGATTAAGGGGTTAAAATTAATTATCTAGTTTTTCATATCCATTAAAACAATAAATTGATAACAAAGGCTATTATTTGATGATTGTTTGCTATGTGCCAGACATTGTTTTATAAATATTATCTCATCTAATTCTTACAACAGTCCTGAGGCAGACACTGTTATTACTTCTGTTTCATGGTTATGGAAATTGGTTATTGAGCCAAACAGAGTTTAAGTAATTTGTTCAATGCCACATGGCTGGCCTTAGAACTTCGCTCTGTCTGAGTCCAGAGTCTGCGTCCTTAAAGTACAAAGGTAAAACTTGTTATGAATGTCTCAGGCTTGGCTTCTGGCCCTCAGTTCCAACAAATTCTTTTCTGATCTCCTTCACTGACTAAGGCTCAGAACAACTCTGTTTTACCCATATCCTCTTAGGATACCTGTGGTGCCATCTGGGGATATCAGCCCCTCACCCAGTGATATGGTTTGGCTGTGT